CACGGCTACACATACTGTCTAGGAAGGGGCACGGAGAGAAGGATGAGGACACACACCCAAATCAGCAGCGGCTGCATGGAAGAGAAGGGGTGGCGTTTACATGAGGGTTGTTGTCGTGAGCATCGGTGACGCGTGCACGCAGGAAAAACAGTCAACAATTAAACACCGGACAGCACGGCGCACAACTCCATGGCTTTTAAAACCCTCCCGCAGCTGCCCCCCAATGGAAAGAAAAGAGGACGCCACGGTGCGGCAGGAACACAGAGATGACGGCGCAGAAAAGAATGCCCAACCGGCGTAAAAAAAAAAAAGCAAAAACAAGGCTTTCCCCCACAGCGGCCACATCCAACACGCAAATAATAATAATAATAATAATAATCAACACCACACACGGCAACTCACAGGGCAGTGAATACCCTGTCGACAACCTTCATGGCTGCTCTCCCACACACTCTTCGGGAGTCCATCGCTCCGCCGCCTTCTTCCCTCCAGCAGCACCCTCGCACGAACAGCCACGGCACACAATCGGGTCCATCCGCACCCGTCGCCACGCCGCCCTCAACGACCCAACAGGCAACCGCCCAACGACTGTTGCAGACATCACACACCCGCGCCGAAGCACGCGACGCAACATCATGTCACGTGGACCCCTCCGTCGGCAGCACGTCATGTCAACCGTTTGGCCAACACACGGAACAATCAATCGACAGAACAGAGAAGTAAGGCAGGCGCTCAATCAAGGAATCTCCACACGCACACACACACGGCTCTTTTCATGCCAATGCAGCTGCCACGGGCACAGTATCCGAGCGGAAAATGACAACCAGTAAAAAAGGCCTCGCAAAAGGAAAACAATCCACACTTCCATATGCAAAGCGCCACTCAGGCTGCTGCAGCTGCAGGGTCCGTGGGCAAAAATGCGCCTTACTGAATCCCGCCAATTATGTCAGTCTCCCCTCCCACCAATGCCACGCATAATGCACGGTGTGCGTCCACAGGCATCCACTCCCGGTGGCCTAGCAACACTCCAGAAACGAACGCAACAGGAGTAATACAACGAGCACCACACAATGCCACCGCAACAGCAAGCACACCACAGGACAGCAACACGCCACGCACCGATGTTTTGCTCTTCCACACGCCTCATTTACCGCACACCCCAAAACACACATAATGGGAAAAGCAAAGGATCATTACACAATGCAAAAGCAATATAAATAAAAACAAGAAAATCAAAACCCACACAGATCCCTCGCACACGCACACAAACACCCCACGGCATTCTTCACAATAAGCAAAACAATTTGTTACCCCTAAACCCAATAAAACACGTGTGGTGCCGCCACATAAGCGACCAACACACACACACACAAAAAAAAGAATGTATAGAGCATTTCTCTGGTGCAAAGCATAGAGACAAGCAGAGCGTATATATGTATATATATATACTGAGAGGGACATATCAATTAATATAGGCTTTTCTCTCTTCCACCTACTGCTAAGTGCGGGCCACGCAGGACGCAACCGCATTAGCCTCGCCGTGCAACGGAATCCATGCAGCCACTCAATAGAGTGTTGGTACGGCGGCGGCAGCGGCAAGTAGAAGAAACAGCGGACAGGGAAAATCAGCAGCCGCACTGTTATTGCCGTGGATAGGAGGCGGAAAGTCTGTCAGGTCTGCCTCGCAACCCCCGCGCCCCACCGCCGCTTCATCCTCCCTCGGCGGAGGGTCCACGGCGCCCTTGCGCATCATCAGCGGCATCAGGGCCCTTGGGTCCCGTGGCTGCGG